ACAGCTCTAAAGTGCTAAGGTCGCAAGCGAGAGAGAGAGAACAAACTGAAAACAGCATCTTAAATAGGTAAAACGAACCAACCGGAAGCTACGATAAACGGACTGCGACACCTAAAGGCTACAAACTGTAAGAAAGAATGTGAAGCTAAAATAACAGTGGAAAATATATTATCATGGGACTCGTGACACGAGTTACGTGTTATTTGTCACGCTTGTTCTTCTTTCTTGTTAATCAGCGTGTTTGTTTATTTTGTACATTATAGTGTAGTTTTACTCTCCCAGTTATATTGTTTAGCCGTGCTAGTAATTTTTAGCGTCGTTGTTTCGTTTAAGCGCTATTGCGGTGTCTTATTGACAGTGTTATTTGAAATAGTTATAGTTTCTGATCTTTTAAAAATCATAGATGATTTGCATATAATACAAACCTTAAAGTACGAAATGCACAATATTGTTACAAGCATCTCAAGTAAAACTGAAATTACGTTGCGATTTACTTAACTCTTTGTTATTTTCTGACTTATCTTTTGGACCGGTACCTATTAAACGTTAGCGTGACATATACCCCTGTATCATTATGTCCAACTTGCAGACTACATGCCCATATTTTTCTAGCTATTTGTTCTACTCTGGTTGCCTTGTGGTTAATTCCATTATGATTTAGCTTGGTATGAAGTCAGCAAATGTCAGACGTCGTCCCTTATTTAGGTGAAGCTTTAAGGTAAGCCACATTCAGTAATAGACTATCAATTTTTACAAATTGTGAGAGTACATATAGTCTGCTACACAGCCGTTTTACGAGTCGTCACGCAACGCTCCTCCCCAAGGAGCGTTGCGTGAGGACTCTAAAAACGGCTGTGTAGCAGACTAGAGTACATATTGGTGGGCGTATAATGTATGTCATATACAAAGTCAAAACTCCCTTCAGCTAATAATATAGTCTATATGAAGTTCAAATCTAACGCGGAAATTTAGGAAAAGGTGCATATCCTATTACTTGGCCAAAACACCTGCCTGTTCTAATTCTACATAGAAAAATGGTTTCTCAGCGAACAATAAAAACAAAAAACAAAAGCAAAAATATCACTTTTAGCTAGGCTGTGCAACTTCATTATGCATTTGGAGATTTCTGCGTAAAATTACACTCTTGAACCCTTCTTTAAAGTTAGTGCTGCGAAAAGCGTAGATAAAAGGGTTGAAACATAAACTTAAAACGAATACAAAATCAGCAACAAATGTAGGTTGAGCGTAAAAAGTAACTTCTGTTGTTCCATCTCCTGACGGAATGATCACGTAAGAAACTACAGTTGGTATAAAACCAGTAAAAAAAGCAACGGTTACCAACATAAACGTGATTACAAGTTTCTTCTTCTCAGAATTCTTTTCTCCATCTGTGTCGCGACACACTGTGTTGGTAAAGTAAAACCCTCTTATCAAGGATCCATAGCAGTATATCATGATCCCCAGTAGAATAGAATATATAACTGCATCTAAAATCAAACAAGCTTTGCTACCTTGATTTAAATACAGAGTCCAGGGACCAATACATGTCTCATAAGTTTTGCTCCATTCTTTAAAGAACGTTGCTGGGAGGCACATGACAACGCTTGCCACCCAAATGCAAGCGATCGCCTTCTTAATGTTGTCTTCTCTTAAGCGCTGTCCGTTTCTTTAAGGCTTTCATTATTGCGTAATATCTTTCGACTGCTAGTACAGTCATGGTAATGCAGGAAACAATTATGCAGACTTGAACGAGCTCGATTAACTTGCAAAAGAATTTCCAGTATACAAAGAAATACAACGGCCACATCAAAATGGTAACAATATCGCTAACAGCCATGCTGACTAGGAGATAATTTGTGGGCGTGTGCATCTCGCGTGTTTTGTGAACAATTCGTATTACCAACACATTTCCGATGAATCCAATGAGAAGGAACAGGATGCTTGAATAAAATAAGGTATATTGAAGGTTATAGATTTCATCCATATTGCGTCTCTTTAAAAAGTAGCGTTCTTGCTTTTGCCTTATTTGATGTCGTGTATTTTGAGTTTAAGGACAGCAATTAGCTTTGGCCGAACAACGCCTCTTGGGAAACTGTATGGAAAAGTCTAACTTGAATAATCCGACGCGAAAAAAAGTTTTTGATAATTTATGGAGGTTAATTATTCTATACCCAACAAATTAATATATTTCAATATTTCACTCCATGTGCGGTTTTTTATTTTTCGTTTTAGTGATAACAACCCTTAACTACATTCGTTTATAGATGCAAAATGCTAGGCACTTCTGGGCGCAATGACAACTTTCATGTCTGCGTGATAGTTCTTAATAAACGCTAGTCCTGATAATTTTTTTCAATATCACCTATTTATCGAGTTCATGTTACGAGAAACAGCTTAATATTCTTAAATCGAAAGGGCTATCGCTTTTCGAATAAACCTCTTCTTTGTAAATGTACCATACGGTTGGAAAAATACACAGTTTCCCAACACGTCTTTATACTTTATTTTCGCAAAGCACAATTGCTAAGTTCAGTTTATTGTATGTAAGCATGTACACTGTACCACTCTTTTCTCTTCCTTCGCAACTTTGACTCTTAAATGCCGCACAGGCAAAGTCAGACTACTTTTCAATAGAACTACAAGGCGGCGACGCCTTTCAAGTCTAAGTAAGATTATAAAACATTATGTTAACTTATTCTCATTGGTGAACACTTACTTTGATGCTTCACTTTCTTCTTCTTAACTTGTAAAAAGAGATGCTGTTTTTGAATAATTCTTGTCCCTGATCTAATGATCATAAGAAAACTTCCACTCGCTTTTAAAAGTAAATAGGGCTTGTAATCTGTTGTTGCAAAAAGTCTGTATTCGTTAGTGAATACAGGCGATCGCAAAGTTGTTAGTGACAAAAAGCTGCAATAGCACTGACTGCTCACCCCCATCCCCTTCTGCCTCCCCCAACCCCCCCCCACCACTCCTCCGCAGACGCTATTATGCTGCGATCATAAAACACTAGGTGGCGATTAGAAGTTCAAACTAAGTCGCATTCAGCCGGCCCGCGCACTTGTCTAAACGAAACTTGCGATCAAATACAAGCGATTGCCCGCTTGATGCATGTTATCTTTATCGCAGTCGCATTCCTGTTTCGAATGGCTTCAGAATCGCGTGGTATCTTAAAAAATAAAAATACTACGAGAACAAAAAAAACCAGTTGTAGTAATTTTATTCAAGAAATAAAGCGTTTTCATAATCTCGTCTTTAAAACTAATTATAATTTTATCCATTAATATTTTATTGTTTTTTTTTAACAATAAATTCTTCTTCTTCTTCTTCTTCTTCTTCTTCTTCTTCTTATTATTATTATTATTATTATTATTATTATTATTATTATTGTCGTTTATTGTTATTTTGTTACGATCACCTTTTTTTTACTTCTTCACAACATTGCGGCGCCGAACTTGAAACTACAGATTAACGGCGAAAAAATTTTAATTTTATATATTTTTTTCATTCTGATGATGACGAAAACAGCTAAGAGAAGCAGTTATTTATTCAGTCCAAGATTAGCTTCGTTCTGTGTTGTCGGTTTCCAGCCAAACAGCATTCGTTTAAGGTTTTCTCGGAATTTTCTGCCTCGAAATCCATAAATCATAGGGTTTAGACTTTTAAAAACTGCTCACGAAAAAGAAATCCGTTACGTATAGAAAGTCTTCGTTTCTATCACTTCCTGTTACTTTAAATGCCCAAAAGGTATGGCGTGTAACCCACTAAAAACCCTGTAGTGGCCAAGATTAGAGTTATGACAAGTTTCTTTTTCTCCGATGTTGTCTCTCTTTCGGTTTCTGGGTACGCTATGCTACTAAAGTAAAGTCCCTTAATCACGCATCCATAGCAAGAAAACGTAACCACTATTTGTATATAGGCTATGGTGAGATTTATGGCGACATAAATTTGGCTTGCCTCATTCATCTGTAAGGTCCAGAGACCGATACACCCAGCGTATGTCTCGCTCCATTCTTTAAGAAAAAATTCTGGAAAACATATGATGAGACTTGCGATCCAAATGCAAGCGATTGCCCGCTTGATGTTATCTTTATTTAACCGCAGTCCTGTTTCGAATGGCTTCAGAATCGCGTGGTACCTTTCCACCGCCAGCACAGTAAGGGTATTGAAGGAAACCATGATGCTGATTTCCGCAAGCGTAGAAAACTTGCAAACGAACTTTGCGAAGGAAAAGTAGTACAGTGGCCACAGCAATACGGTGATGACATCACTAACGGCCATACTCACGAGAAGATAGTTTGTCGTGGTGTGCATTTCTCGTTTCTTATGCACAATTCGTATCAACAAAAGATTTGCGATCAATGCGATGATAACGAACGGGATTCCCCCATAAAAAAATGCTAATGGAAGAATAACGTTTTTGGTCATGCTTCACTCATCTAGCTTATCAATACGACAAAGTGTGAGACAGTTGTACGTTCGTTGGTAGACCAACTTTAAATAGCCTAGCTTACTTACTGCTTCCTGTTTGTTGAGGGTAGATCGCGTATCGACTTTTGCATTAATCGGGCTGGTAATTGTTGCCATACTGAGATGGTATTCATGAGTGACGTTTATCGTGAAAATTAGGAATATTCTGTGGAATGATTAACACAAACGGCGGCTTTTTAAGTAAGGTTAAGAATTGGAGCACTTGTTAAAAGATGCAGATAGTCAGGGACCCGCCAATTAAAAATCATTTAATCTTTATACTCGGGTGGCAGACGCTACCAGAAGACGGATGAGAAAAGGTTTGAAATTGGGTTGTGGTGGTTTTTTACCCTCTAAGTAATATTTGTAGTAGAGTCGAGTTTTGGCATAAGTTCTTAAAGGGAGTTTTATTTGGGCCAAAATACCACAAGGTATCCAAGTCTGATTTGTTCTGGAAGATATGTCACTGGTATTGAACAGAAAGATTACATAAAGTGCTTGGGAGTATATAGGTGAACATCTCAATTGGCGATACAGATACAACATGTAAATAATAAATTAGCTAGAAATTTAGGAATCCTTTCAAAACTAAGATATTACATAGATCTGAATATACTCAAACAAATTCATTATGCTTTAATATATCTCTATTTGAGTTACAGTTTTCTTGCTTGGGGATGTGTTAGCAAAACCAGATTAGATTGTCTTCGCATTAAGCATAACAAATGTCTCCGCACCATCTTCTTTGTACATCCTAGAGAGAGTGCTGCTCCCTATTTCAAACTCCTAACAATCCTTAAAGTAGATAATATATATAAATTAAAAATATGTTGCTTTATACATAGAATGAGAAATGAAACTGATAACATTCCAGATATTTTCCTTGATGTCCTGACTCCAGCATCGCATATACACAATCATAATACAAGATTTGTTAGTAATGTGAATTCTTTTAGGCCAAGAGTATCCACCAACTTAGGTAAGACGTCCTTTAAATTCTCCGCTCCAAAAATCTGGAAGACTGTACCGTCTGGTTTCAAGTGTCTGCCATATCATAAGTTTAAGAAAGAATGGAAGTCCTACCTTCTAACCAACCAAATCTGACCTTGATTATATGTTCGTATCACTGATGTTATCTGAGATTTTATTTCCTCTCTTTACTGCTGCCGATTATTTGAACATGACGGTACCCAACAAGAAAGCTCTTGTACGGAGCCCAGTAAGTGCCATTCAAATTTTGCGCTCAATTTTTTCTGTCTCGACTTTTTTCTCGCCTTTAAGTTTTTTTCCCGACTTTTTTCTCGACTTTTTTCCCGACTTTTTTCTCGACTTTTTTCCCGACTTTTTTCCCGACTTTTTTCCCGACTTTTTTCTCGACTTTTTTCTCGACTTTTTTCCCGACTTTTTTCTCGACTTTTTTCCCGACTATTTTCTCGACTTTTTTCCCGACTTTTTTCGCGACTTTTTTCCCGACTTTTTTCCCGACTTTTTTCTCGACTTTTTTCGGACTTTTCCCCCTGACTTTGGAGTAAATCCGCTGACATTTAAGCGCAAACAAAATGGCCGCAAGAATTTTTCGTTATACGATGTTGCTGTCTATAGTAATTCCCTCTACATGTGTTCTGCCAGGCTACTTCTCTTTCCCAGCACATGCAGAACGTGACGACATAATCGACCACTTCTTTCATCTAGGTCTGGGTTACAGCGAGATCTTGATGTGTTTGTTTCTTTTGCTCGGCATTTGCTTAAGTATTCGTCAACTGAAGCGAATACTGAGAAGTCGCGGTCTTGGAAGAAGAGATAATAGGACTGATCCACGGCAGGTTTGCGAAGCTATCGAGGAGGAACTACGAGGCAGTGGTAGCACTATTGGGTATAGGCAAATGTCTCAGAGGCTGGTAGTTGATCACGGGCTAGTTGTTGGCAAAGAGACAGTTAGAGAATTGATGAAGATATTAGATCCTTATGGTGTGTCCGCAAGATCAAGTCGGAGACTCCGGAGAAGGCAGTACAGCACAAAAGGTCCTAATCACATATGGCATATTGACGGATATGACAAGTTGAAACCGTTTGGTTTTTGTGTACACGGTGCAATTGACGGCTATAGCGGAAGAATCATGTGGTTAGAAGTTGGTCCTTCTAACAATGATCCCTCTGTCATAGCCCAATATTTTGTGGACACTATCAGGCAAATCGGTGGAACTGCCAAGATAATACGTGGTGATGGGGGAGCAGAGAATGTTTATGTCGCTGCCGTACAGCGCTTCTTTAGACGTGATGGGGACGACAGTTGGGCTGAAGATAAAAGTTTCTTATATGGAAAATCCGTTGCTAATCAGCGTATAGAGGCTTGGTGGGGTATTTTAAGAAGAGGCTGCTCGGACTGGTGGATCCGTTTTTTCAAAGATATGAGGGAATCCGGTCTTTACTGCGCAAACGATGCACTACAGGCTGAATGTCTTAAGTTTTGCTTCATGCCTCTCATTCGCAAAGAGCTTTATAAAGTGGCTGTATTGTGGAACTTACATAAGATAAGGCCAGCGAACAATGCTGAATCTCCAAGTGGTCGACCAGACATGCTTTATTTTGTGCCAGACGTCACTGGAGGAGCAGACCTTAAACAAGATGTGGACATTGATGATATTGAACTTGCGGAGCAAAGATGTTGCTATAGGTATGCAGAAAGTGGCTGTTGTGTCGAGTTCACTCAGTTAGCATCAATTATAATGCAGGAACAAAACCTTGATATGCCTGAGACAGCCGAAGATGCAGTCACCTTGTACTCTGCCTTACTTCAGAGCATTGATGATTTAGTATAACAGCATGTTGCCAGTCTCTCGTATGAACTGACGTAGATGATGTAAGGAAGGGGAGGGGGTGGGGGCAAACGTTAATCGCAAACTCGCAAGGAGAAATGTATAAAACCAGCAATACAGCATCTTGACTTAATAAAAGTTCGAAACACTAGATTTAGAAAGTGCTAGGTCTTGTAAAACTCCAATAACACAGGATGGCACCAACTATATAGTGATTTTAGCTTTACGATGACGGCGAGAGACAATTTGTCACTTGCGACCAAATTTTCATTTTACCTGTCGTTTACAGCGTATATAATATCTACACAAAGGTAGAGTGATCAAACAAGACATTTGTTCCAGGCGTTCGGCACTCATGTGTTTTTCAGCCTTCGCAAGTGCATGGGTTACTGCAATTTCCAATTTCAAGCAGTTAAAAAAAGGGCCATGTTATCAAAGCAGAAAATGACTTAGCTTTAGCGAATAACTGTTTATTAGAGAGCTTTCATGTTGAACTCGCCAGGGTCCTTGCCAGAACAAGGATGTTAGACAAGTTTCCTTTTTTTATGTTCAGATTGTCGTGGCTTCCCTGAGCTGGCAGAATTCTGGACAAAGAGACAGACAGGTTAGGGTTGACTAGTTAGTGAGCTACTGACCTTTAGAAGCAGCCATGCAAGCCATGGTGTCTGTCCAGACACGGGCAGCTTAGTCAACAGAGATTGGCCGATTACTGTAGAAGCGATCTTTGTTTGATAGCTTCATGTAATGTGTAATAAACGTTTGATGGTTAATTCTCAAGAAGAACCTCACTATTTCAATGCCCGGTATTTCATCGAACGCCTTTAAATCGCTTAAGGCCAGGTGACTTCAGTTCTACCTGTTTCGGCCAACCCAGTAAATAATGAACTGTAATCTTTTTTCCGTTTGTTCCAGTGATGTGGGGCATGTACCCCAGTATGCAATATGAAACTATTGAGCAAAACCTATGAATCAAATAAACTGTCCTTTATTTGTGACAAAGTACTTTAAAAACACAATGGTTGTTAAGGTTTAGGAAGGAAACCTACTTAGACACCTAATTTACAAGTTAAGTTATTACTGATCTACATTACCTCAAAGTCAATAATATCAATTTCCAGATGGATCGAGGTGAGGAAGGGGAAGGAGGAGGGAACTACTATTATATTTAGGCTATGAATAGGTAACTGCCATGGGATGAAGGATGATTTTAAAGTGGTTATCGGTTCTTTAAAACAGGATTCCTCTCGGTATTGCTGTCCCTAGATAAGGTACCCGAAAAGTATGGGACTCACGATGCTCTGAAGACCTGTTCCTGGATTACTTTTCTTCAGCTACTTTGGAAACCATTCAACTAAGTTGCCGAAATGAACCATTGACGCATGCGTATGTGATCAGTGGTGGAAAAAAAAGTCGGGAAAAAAGTCGAGAAAAAAGTCGAGAAAAAAGTCGGGAAAAGAAGTCGAGAAAAAAGTCGAGAAAATAGTGGGGAAAAAAGTCGAGAAAAAAGTCGGAAAAAAAGTCGAGAAAAAAGTCGGGAAAAAAGTCGAGATTTAAGTCGGGAAAAAAGTCGAGAAAAAAGTCGGGAAAAAAGTCGAGAAAAAATTCGAGATTTAAGTCGGGAAAAAAGTCGAGAAAAAAGTCGGTAAAAAAACTTAAAGGCGAGAAAAAAGTCGAGACAGAAAAAATTGAGCGCAAAATTTGAATGGCACTTACTGGGCTCCGTAGTACTACTCTTGCTACTTTGGACACTTTGAAGATAAACAAAAAGTAAATCTTTGTACAAGTTTCCATTCCCGCAGCATGTTTCACTTCGAAAATACAGAAATTTGAACTTCCGAGTTTTCACAGTGCGTGACACCAAAACAGGACTGCTGTCTCGTTGAAAAAAAGTCATTCCTCTTGATTTTCGGCGGTATGACCGTTTCAAGTATTAGAGATAAGTTTATGCGCAAGTATGCTAGTTCTCAACTGAAAAGAAAAAGCTTTTATAGAAAAAGTGAACTCCAGATGTTTTCGTTGATTTCCAGGGGGCCATATTGGTGCACCAAAACGGTACAAAGGTGCGTGAAACGTGTCGGCAAAAAACTCAGAAACTGTGGGCCACAAAGATCTGAGACTTGGAAAAATTGTTTATATATTAGTCTTTTATAACATTTCATTTTCTTGGCTTCTCCCACTGGACGGTTTTCAATTTATTCTTTTGTTGCGTGACAGTTAAAACGATCTATACCAAACAAATGATTATGTTTCAATATTACGCATTGATTGACAACAACCTTAGTTATACGTACACTCGTTTATAGACGCGACTGGCCGCAATAATTGAAAGAGTGCATCTCGGTGAGTTCCTCATAGGTTAGTCTTAATAATTTTTTTCGACAGAACCTGTTTATCGAGTGCCTGTTCCGAAAACAATTCGTTTTAAAATCCAAAGGGATCTCGATTCTCGAATAAATGTCTTCTTTGTAAATGCAACTTGCAGTTAAAAAATTACATATTTCCTAACACGTTTTTCATTTTCTTTAAGCATAGAGCAATGGCAAAGGTCAATTAATTGTGTGTGTGTTCATACACTGTACCATTCTATTCTTCCTCCCCAAATTTAACTCTCTAATGCCGCCCACTAAGAGTAGCTGCCTTTCAACTAAACAAGAAACGGCGCCTTTTTTAAGTCAAGCGGCGGATCCTGATATTCAAGTCTAATTAAGGAAGAGTATAAAACACTATGTTTCAGCTAATTGGTAAAATAGAAGGTGTTTTTCATAAATTCTGCTGGCATAAGTAAATAAGGCTTATAAGCTGTTATTACAAGACGGCTCTGTTGATTAGTGAATACAGGCGATCGCAAAGTTTTAAGTGGTGGCAATTTTATAAGTCGCACTCGTTAGTTATATCTGTTATTCCAGTGAAGCCCCGCCCCAAATTTTAACAGGCGGATAGAATTAGGACCACAATATTATTTCTTTATTATTTTTCGTAGTCATTTTTAACTTCTTTACTACTTCAAAACATTTCAGGCCGGGCCAAAACTTGAAATTACAGATACATAACTCCTAAAAAGCACTTTTACCACACGCAGATTTCCTTACGTTTTTTTTTTTTTTTTTTTTTTTTGGGGGGGGGGGGGGGGAATTTCGCATAACTTTTTGCACATAACTAGAAAGAAAAGCAAAGCTGTCCTTAACAATTGGATGTGACTTGACTGTTTTATGCAAGAACGGAATAAATATTATATATATTTTTTTAGAAAGAGAGCTAATCCGTTACATGACGAAAATAGTAAGAGCAGCAATTAGTTATTCAGTTCAAAAGCATCGTTCTGTCTTGTAGGTTTCCAGCATAACAACATTCTTTTAAGCCCTTCCCGAAATTTTCTACCACGAAATGCATAAATAATAGGGTTTAAACTTAAACAGGACACGAAAAAAAAATTCGCTACGTCTAGAAAGTCTTCGGTTCTATCACTTCCTGTTAATAGAAATGCCCCAAAATATAACAGATATGGCGTGTAACCCACTACAAATCCCGTAGTGGCCAAGGTTAGAGTTATGACAAGTTTCTTTTTCTCTGATATTGTCTCTCTGTCGGTTTCTGGGTACACTACGGTACTAAAGTAAAGTCCCTTAATCACGCACCCATAGCAGAAAAACATAACCACCATTTGAATAAAGGTTATGGTGAGATTTATGGCGACATAAATTTTGCTTGCCTCATTCATCTGTACGGTCGAGGGACCGATACATGTGGAGTTTGTCTCGCTCCACTCTTTTAGAAAGAATTCCGAAAAAAATATAACGAAACTTGCGATCCAAATACAAATGATTGCCAACTTGATGTTATCTTTATTTAACCGCAGTCCTGTTTTGAATGGCTTCAGAATCGCGTGGTATCTTTCCACCGCCAGCACAGTAAGGGTATTGGAGGAAACCATGATGCCGACTTCCGCAAGAGCAACAAACTTGCAAACGAACTTTGCAAATTCGAAGTAGTAAAGTGGCCACAGCAATATGGTGACGACGTCACTAACAGCCATACTCACCAGAAGATAATTTGTCCGGGTGTGCATTTCTGGTATCTTATGCACAATTCGTATGACCAAAAGATTTCCAATCAATCCAATGACAAGAAACGGGATCCCCGCGTAAAAAGGGACGTTTTCGGTCTGGTTCATACTTCAGGCCTGAAGTTGGTCAATACGACAAAGTTTGTTGAACGCGGACAATCTCACTCATACATCAACATGAGCTCATATAACAACGTTTCCAGTTTCTTTGCGGGTAGATCGTGATAGGCATTGATAGTCTTTGCAATTAATATTTAAAAGGCTGGTAATTATTTTCATAACAGTGGCGTTGACATTTGTCGTGAAAATTAGGAATAATCTGTAGAATGGTTAACACAAAAGCTGAGTTTTATTATTGAGCGCTTGCTTAAAGATATAAGAAATATAATAAGCGGTGACCGCAATCAAAAATTTCAACTTTAAAACAGTGGTAAATAAGTCTGTTAGCAAAAGCCAGAAAATGGGGATTTTTTCACAACAGACGAATTTGAAAAGGTTTAACCCTTTAAAATTTAAGATCAAAATATGAATTCTCATTTGTTGTCCCTATTCATTTCCTACAGAAGTTGTGGGGAGAAATAATAAAATGTCAAGAAAATTCATCTTGGGTGATCATGTCCTTACAAAGCATTGATATTACAAGGAGAAATTTGATGCTGATCACTCTTAGGGCTTAAAGAGTTAAAAGGGGATTGTAGCGGACTCTACCCCCTGATAAATGCCTGGTACGAAGGGTAAGTGGAGTAAAATTGTGCTATAGGTTGTTTGTGTTATTTGGGCCCAAAGATCATATAGTACAACTAAGTCTGCTTTGTTCTGTAATTATATTTATCCACTTGAAAGGGCTACGGAAACGAATGCATTGTTTTAATTTTGAAACAAAGCTGACTTGCGGTAACATTTTTCAAAGATTTGTTAAACTGGACTGCTTTAAAAACTGTCACGCTGTCATGTTCTTTATCAACTCATATTGTAATGCATTACCACTGTTACCCATGATTAACCAACTTCACTTCCTAAGGTATATACTTCATGGTAGAAAGCCACGAGTGCACCGGTAATATACAATCTGTGTATTATGTAGTATTGTGTCTTCTCCCTAATAGCTAGTGGTAGTTAGTTACTGGTAGTTACTAGTAGTTACTAGTAGTTACTAGTAGTTACTGGTAGTTACTAGTAGTTACTAGTAGTTACTAGTAGTTACTAGTAGTTACTGGTAGTTACTAGTAGTTACTAGTTTACTAGTAGTTGCTGTAGTTAGTAGTACTAGTAGTTACTGGTAGTTACTAGTAGTTACTAGTAGTTACTAGTAAATACTAGTAGTTACTAGTAGTTACTACTAGTAGTTAGTAGTTACTAGTAGTTACTAGTGATTACTAGTAGTTACTAGTAGTTACTAGTAGTTACTAGTAGTTACTAGTAGTTACTGGTAGTTACTAGTAGTTACTAGTAGTTACTAGTAGTTACTAGTAGTTACTAGTAGTTACTAGTAGTTACTAGTAGTTACTGGTAGTTACTAGTAGTTACTGGTAGTTACTAGTAGTTACTAGTAGTTACTGGTACTGTTACTAGTAGTTACTAGTAGTTACTGGTAGTTACTAGTAGTTACTAGTAGTTTACTTACTAGTTACTAGTAGTTACTAGTAGTTTACTAGTTACTAATAGTTTACTAGTAGTTACTAGTAGTTACTAGTAGTTACTAGTAGTTACTAGTAGTTACTAGTTTACTAGTAGTTACTTACTAGTAGTTACTAGTAGTTTTGGTAGTTACTAGTAGTTACTAGTAGTTACTGGTAGTTTTTGGTAGTTACTAGTAGTTACTGGTAGTTACTAGTAGTTACTAGTAGTTAGGTATTTACTAGTAGTTACTGGTAGTTACTAGTAGTTACTGGTAGTTACTGGTAGTTACTAGTAGTTACTAGTAGTTACTGGTAGTTACTAGTAGTTACTGGTAGTTACTGGTAGTTACTAGTAGTTGATGGTAGTTACTAGTAGTTACCAGTAGTTACTGGTAGTTACTAGTAGTTACTAGTAGTTGATGGTAGTTTTGGTATTTACTAGTAGTTAGTTACTTATTAGTTTACTAGTAGTTACTAGTTACTGGTAGTTACTAGTAGTTACTAGTAGTTACTGGTAGTTACTGGTAGTTACTAGTAGTTACTGGTAGTTACTAGTAGTTACTAGTAGTTACTAGTAGTTACTAGTAGTTACTGGTAGTTACTAGTAGTTACTAGTAGTTACTAGTAGTTACTAGTAGTTACTAGTAGTTACTAGTAGTTACTGGTAGTTACTAGTAGTTACTAGTAGTTACTGGTAGTTACTAGTAGTTACTGGTAGTTACTGGTAGTTACTAGTAGTTACTGGTAGTTACTAGTAGTTACTAGTAGTTACTGGTAGTTACTAGTAGTTACTAGTAGTTACTGGTAGTTACTAGTAGTTACTAGTAGTTACTGGTAGTTACTAGTAGTTACTAGTAGTTACTGGTAGTTACTGGTAGTTACTAGTAGTTACTAGTAGTTACTAGTAGTTACTGGTAGTTACTGGTAGTTACTAGTAGTTAGTAGTAGTTACTGGTAGTTAGTAGTAGTTACTGGTAGTTACTGGTAGTTACTAGTAGTTACTAGTAGTTACTAGTAGTTACTGGTATTTACTGGTAGTTACTAGTAGTTACTAGTAGTTACTAGGTAGTTACTAGTAGTTACTAGTAGTTACTAGTAGTTACTAGTAGTTACTGTAGTTACTAGTAGTTACTGGTAGTTACTAGTAGTTACTAGTAGTTACTAGTAGTTACTAGTAGTTACTGGTAGTTACTAGTAGTTACTAGTAGTTACTAGTAGTTACTAGTAGTTACTGGTAGTTACTAGTAGTTACTAGTAGTTACTAGTAGTTACTGGTAGTTACTAGTAGTTACTGGTTAGTTACTAGTAGTTACTAGTAGTTACTAGTAGTTACTAGTAGTTACTAGTAGTTACTAGTAGTTACTGGTAGTTACTAGTAGTTACTGGTATTTACTAGTAGTTACTAGTAGTTGATGGTAGTTACTAGTAGTTACTAGTAGTTAATGGTAGTTTTTGGTATTTACTAGTAGTTAGTGGTAGTTATTAGTAGTTACTGGTAGTTACTGGTAGTTACTAGTAGTTACTAGTAGTTACTAGTAGTTACTGGTAGTTACTGGCAGTTACTAGTAGTTACTGGTATTTACTGGTAGTTACTAGTAGTTACTGGTATTTACTAGTAGTTACTAGTAGTTGATGGTAGTTACTTAGTAGTTACCAGTAGTTACTGGTAGTTACTAGTAGTTACTAGTAGTTGATGGTAGTTTTTGGTATTTATTAGTAGTTAGTGGTAGTTATTAGTAGTTACTGGTAGTTACTAGTAGTTACTAGTAGTTACTGGTAGTTACTAGTAGTTACTGGTAGTTACTAGTAGTTACTGGTAGTTACTAGTAGTTACTGGTAAATACTGGTAGTTACCAGTAGTTACTGGTAGTTACTAGTAGTTACTAGTAGTTACTAGTAGTTACTAGTAGTTACTAGTAGTTACTGGTAGTTACTAGTAGTTACTAGTAGTTACTGGTAGTTACTACTAGTTACTAGTAGTTACTGGTAGTTACTAGTAGTTACTGGTAGTTACTAGTAGTTACTAGTACTTACTAGTAGTTACTGGTAGTTACTGGTAGTTACTAGTAGTTACTGGTAGTTACTAGTAGTTATTGGTATTTACTAGTAGTTACTAGTAGTTGATGGTAGTTACTAGTAGTTACTAGTAGTTAATGGTAGTTTTTGGTATTTACTAGTAGTTAGTGGTAGTTATTAGTAGTTACTGGTAGTTACTAGTAGTTACTAGTAGTTAATGGTAGTTTTTGGTATTTACTAGTAGTTAGTGGTAGTTATTAGTAGTTACTGGTAGTTACTAGTAGTTATCAGTAGTTACTAGTAGTTACTGGTAGTTACTAGTAGTTGTCGGTAGTTACTGGTAGTTACTAGTAGTTGATGGTAGTTACTTAGTAGTTACCAGTAGTTACTGGTAGTTACTAGTAGTTACTAGTAGTTGATGGTAGTTTTTGGTATTTACTAGTAGTTAGTGGTAGTGATTAGTAGTTACTGGTAGTTACTAGTAGTTATCGGTAGTTACTAGTAGTTACTGTTAGTTACTAGTAGTTGTCGGTAGTTACTAGTAGTTACTAGTAGTTGATGGTAGTTTTTGGTATTTACTAGTAGCTACTGGTAGTTACTAGTAGTTACTAGTAGTTGATGGTAGTTTTTGGTATTTACTAGTAGTTAGTGGTAGTTATTAGTAGTAGTTATCGATAGTTACTAGTAGTTACTGGTAGTTACTAGTAGTTGTCGGTAGTTACTAGTAGTTACTAGTAGTTGATGGTAGTTTTTGGTATTTACTAGTAGTTAGTGGTAGTTATTAGTAGTTACTGGTAGTTACTAGTATTTACTGGTAGTTACTAGTAGTTGTCGGTAGTTACTAGTAGTTGCTGGTATTCACTAGTAGTTACTGGTAGTTCCTAGTAGTTATCGGTAGTTACTAGTAGTTACTGGTAGTTACTAGTTGTTAATAGTAGTTCTTGGTATTTACTAGTAGTTATTGGTAGTTATAGGTAGTTACTGGTAGTTACTAGTAGTTACTGGTAGTTACTAGTAGTTGTCAGTATTTACTGGTAGTTAGTAGTAGTTGATGGTAGTTACTAGTAGTTACTAGTAGTTACTGGTAGTTACTAGTAGTTACTAGTAGTTGATCGTAGTTTTTGGTATTTACTAGTAGTTAGTGGTAGTTATTAGTAGTTTCTGGTAGTTACTAGCATTTACTGGTAGTTACTAGTAGTTGTCGGTAGTTACTAGTAGTTACTGGTAGTTACTAGTAGTTATTGGTAGTTACTAGTAGTTACTAGTAGTTAATAGTAGTTCTTGGTATCTACTAGTAGTTAGTTGTAGTTATAAGTACTTCCTGGTAGTTCCTAGTATTTACTGGTAGTTACTAGTAGTTGTCGGTAGTTACTAGTAGTTACTGGTAGTTAATAGTAGTTCTGATTACACTATGGGCTCTAAAAGTTCTCACCTAAAAACATTAAGTAATTGAAAATTCATTGAGGCTAAAAG